GCCCCCCCCCCCCCACCCACACCTCACCACAACCATCCCATTGAGACCCAAAACACCCCCCACTGGCCCGAAACCCACCCTCTTCTTTTTACTCTCCATCCAGGATCAGATAATGTGAAAAATGAACCATGGAGCAGTCAGGGAGACCACATGGCCTCCCCAGCAAAACCACACAAGACAAATAGATATAATTAGACAGCGTCCGTGGGTTATTTTTCTTCACAAATATTTTACAAGACTCCCTTTCTTTCTTCCTCTCTCTCCTCCTCTTCTCGGTCCTTTCTTCAGAGTCCATCTGTTTTTCATTGCTCGCTCAGAATGCAGGGTCTATTGTTCTGGGCTGGGTTGGGTTAGGCCGAGCCGAGCCAGGCTGGGCCCGGTCAGGTCGTTTTTATTTTCGGGAGTATGTTTGGGGGCCAAGGGAGTGGTGTGAGAGAGCGGGCGGGGGTGGAGAGGATAGGTCAGAGGTCATCGGAGCATAAACCATTGCCACATGCACCTCGGACTGCGGTCTGACTCGTATTTCCTGTCTTCAAACACGGCTCGGGGAGGCGGGAGGTAGCAATAACACAGAGGGCCACGGAGAACCTTGTTTTCCCAGCTTCCCTGCACACTGCGCACATATGGAGCCAGGCAACCTGTTCTTATAATGGAACCTAATATGCACACACACACACACACACACACTACAGCTATTAGATAAGGTTGATCTGCACACCTGGTCTTGCTGCGTGACTCTACAAACATTATATCCTGACAAAGATTATAGGATGAGGGCCCTAGACTTCTAAAAGCAGTTTCTTTCTCTACTGAGCAAGTTTGTTTTAGATTGCAATGTCATCACTGATAGAAAGGGAAGTGACACAGAAAGATGAGACATTGCATTCACACATCAGTCAAGGTCAAAGAAGCTTTTTTGTTGACTTAGATGTTTGACAAAAAACTGTGAAATCTTTGAATCAGGGAGGTGAGCTCTCTAAGGCAGTTTTGTCATGCTTTCTGTGGTTTTGTGAGGAACATTTATGCATGGGTGTCAACCACCAGCTCACGTGGTTTTCCAGTTCTGACTAGTTTGTAGTGTCACTCAGGAGGATGAGCAGGGTCTGTGCAGGAGACTCGGGGCCTGCATTCCCAACTGCCTCTTCCTGTGTCTGTCAGGAAGACTAAGAAGGTTTGTTTGGAGACCTGAAGGCACGGCTAATAAAATTAAATCCGCAAGGCCTCTCGCTTTGACTTGGCTACAGTTGCAAGTCATGTTAATGCTCAAAGTATGCTACAAATCCCAGCACCCCTGACAACAGTGTTCTGAAGGATGCCGCTGCATGGCTTGAATCACTCAGACAGATAGTGTAATAAGCTTGCCTAATGAGTTTATCACCATGCATTTTAATAGACTGCTACTTTAGGTTAATCTGCAATGCGTTTCGCTGATATGTTGGAGTAACTGCCAGTTCCGTTTGTCTACTACAAACTGTCATTGCAGTCGGCTGACAGAGCATTCATTCTTGACAAGTTCATCTCCTGTAAGACAGGACTGAATCTATGTAGATATGTATGCTCATCGGTCAGGTGCACATATGTTTGTCTGTATATGAAGCACAGTACAGTGCATTTACAATTATGTGCAATGTGATTAACTGCACTTAAGAAATGAAGCGTATCTGATTACTGAAAATAATCCTAAAAAGGTCTTTCTGCCAAAACTACATTAAACAAAAACTATATGCCTTATACAAATAACGCAAAATGATCGCATATATAGTACAGAGCCGTAAGATTAAACGAAAACAATTTCTATGCAGGAATATCAAAAAGCTGAATGGATTTTAGCACCCCCAGGTGTGGGTTGACAAATTAAAATAAGAGAATATACTGTACATACTGCTTTGAATGTTACTCTAAATGTCTATGACCATCAGTACTTTAAATCAGTAATTTGTGTCCCCAGAATGCATACTCCAGAGTACCTATATAATATTAACAGAAATAAATATTCAGGCCTTTACACACATCAGTCATTAATATTCATTATTTTTGTCTTTACCTGTGTGATGGTCTCTCGCTCATTCTGAAAAGCTTTTGTTTTATAATATATTGTATAGCAAAGGGTCAGGGCCACTCTGAATGTAATGCGAGTTTAGGGTAAAGTCAGAACTCCATACTTTTATTAAATAAGAAACTTCATTGAGACAATTTGTTTATTCCTCGAGTGAAATGTTTCTAGGTGCAGAAGAAATCTTGACATCAATTAACTCTAATCAGGCTGGTAGCAGAAATATGTATTGAGTTGGTGTCCTTTGTTGGCATATAAATGTATCGTTTGTGGTTATGTCCAAAGTTTGCATCATTGTTTGGATGTGTGGAGTGTGACATGAATTCTCAGCCAGGCACCCATCAGTTCAGCATTAAGCCACCCTGTGTACAAGTGTGTGGAGCAGGCTGCATCATGGGAGTGCTCCAATCAGCAAAGACGGAGGCGGGAAGGCTCGTTAAAGTGATGCGAGCTGTTTGCATGAGTTAAGGAGAAACAACCCCCAGTGACACCAGAGAGAGGCCGGGACACACACACACACACACACACACACACACACACACACACACACACA